AGGTGTCAGCATGCTTGCTACACTCGAGCACAGGCTAGGATCCAGAAAGCAGCATGTTGGCATCATTTGTTGCCGCTGTTTTCTGTTTTCCGACGCTGCTGCAGTCAAAAGCATCTGTCAGCTGACATTAATGCCATTGAAAATAGACAGGTCTTGTGTTTGCTGATTATTGGACGCAGGTAAAATTCCAGCTTTGGAGCTTTTTTTCGGGCACACTGTCAGTTGAAGTGGTCTTCAGCTGCTCACACACCACGTTGCACTCCAAGAGATCTCAGAAACAGCAGCGAAGACATGGGCTGGTTCCTCCATGCAAAGCTTCCCCCTTCGGGAGTAACAGATGCTAAAAAGGCATGGGACATACCTTCCCAGCACCTGGAATCATTTTTGCGCAGTTTGGAGCAAGCTGCTTGAATCACTTGAACACGTCGGCAAGTAGCAACCAACACGACTAAGTCCAAGAAGCTTTGCTGACCCAATTTGTCCCTTCCTTTTCTGCTTCTTCTTCTTCTTCTTTGCCTCCCCTCCTGCTATCCTCTTGTGTTTTTGTTGGGCAAGAAATGTACAAGCTCAATTTGGCGACCTACTTATTTCTTGGGAACTCATGCGGAGCGCCTCCAGTCAGCAGAGCACCCAAACCGGAATGACGTCCAATCCCCTGTGCATCCAGAAGCCAGAACGCCCATGCCATCCCATGCCTCAAACCATCGTCATAAACGCTAGCGCGCGATTGCCTTGGCAGCCGCGCTTGCAGGGAAGTGCAGTTACAACACAATCTGAAAAGGCAAGTGCAGATGCATGCTGGCAAACACCTGATGGCGAATCACGTGTCACGGTAATGTCCATGGTGCGCTCGGAAAGAACAAGGGCTCGCATTGAAGGGAACCTCGTGCAAAAATACCAGTCGGATTCCAACATGTCATTTAAAATGTCTCAAGCTTTCATGATCTAGCCTCTGGGACTCATCTAGTCCGAAAGCGCAGACAAACTGAACTTGGTTTCTACCCGTCAGGGTGCGCTCCTCCTTGTTGTTGCTGGCGTTGCTGCTGCTGCTGTTGTTGTCAAAGCCAAATTTTATCTTGCTGCTGTTTGTTGCAATAAGCAGTTCTGCCAGTCCTCTGCCATGCCTGGGCCAGGCCTTAGTCATCCTTCATGTTCCGCGATAATGCTTTTACACTGGAGCCCATACTGGGGAAATCTGAAAATACAGTTGCAATGTGAGGTCTGCCACCCCCAAGATGAGGGCATGGCAGGCATGCCAGCTAGCCCACCCGCGGTTAGCACAATCAGGGCCAGCGGGCTCCACTCGCCTGTGTTTGGAGGAGTAGAGGAAGACTGCTATCACTTGCGGCTGGGAATAGGACGTTGCCATCTTCAGTTTCTTGAGGATGCAGAGTGAAGCAAGGAATTTTGACGCTGGGCCCTTGCAATGCAAGAATTCGTAAAGGCGTTGTACACCAGTGACTGGTCAAACGCGGAATTTTCCGTGATGCAGTCAGCTATGGAGTTCTAACCCCCGCAAGCGGCATCCCGCAATTCCGAAAGACCTGGCCCCAAACTTTCCCTCCATGTAGAACGTAGGGCCGTGTAGAAATTAAGCTAAGGCTCATCGCGCTCTCAGAAAGTATGCCTACACTCAAAACTGGCTGCTGACCATTGAAAGCTACAGTTCTCGCGGCAAGTTCAATCAGTCCATACCCTGAAATTTGCGGATATATCAACAATGTATATTCAATATGAAAGAGCAGCTTGTGCCTTGACATTCATGTTAGCTGTCAATCCTTCCAAAGGTCGAGATTGTGTCCACAGGTCACTCAGGCTGTGACCAAGGGATGGCTTGAGCTTGCCGCAGCTGAGTTGCTTGTCGCCTTCTTGCTGATTGCATAGAGGAGACCAGGAAATCCTGCCCTCCGCTAAGAGCGGCAAGCTGAAAAGACTGGATTTCGATGCTTTGGCGAATGCATCCAAAACGCCATGCCGAATCATGCCTGTTGGACTGTTATTTTCGGTCAATTGTGCTTGCTTGTCCCAAACGGGCTGCCAAGCAACAGATACGCACCAGGCCCCACTGGACAGAGATGATGGTGCATACGTTCTTAGCTTTCCCCGCTTCGGGTAGTAGGGCGGGCACTGAGCACAAGACCCAGGACCTTTTAACACAAGGTTTCAGGAAAGATGTGCTTCCTCAGGAGATTGTCTGAGTCCTGAATATCTTGGGAAATCCGACATTCAAGGATTGTTTGAGTTTCTCACTGGTAGTGGCAGAGGTTTCTGACCGCGGTCGACGTGCACCAACTTTTGATCTCTGTCCAGCCAATACCACATTGCCGTAAGGATGGTGTGAGCCATCCGCTGCACTGTGAAAGTCCCAGGAAGATGGTGTGCAGATCATGCATACTCGTACGATGTATCAAGGAATGTGGGTGACAAGTGTTGCAGGAACTGCTGGGGCGCCCAATCCCAAGGTTTATGTAGAATACCAGCATGGCCATGGCGGCGACAGTATGTGGATCCAAGCTAGAGAGGAGATGAGATGAGTGTTAACAAGATACGTGGTCAGCATGCTCAGAGCTTGCAGCTGGATCCAGCGCCAAATTCATCGAGTCTAGAACCTAGCAGCTGACTTGCAGGGCAGCGCCATGGGAGTAGTGGCTTGGCAGGGATCTGGCACATGCCCACAGAGGGTCCAGCGCACAAGCCATTCTACCGAACGAGAGAATTAAGTGAGCACATTTTTCGTCGACGCTCCGTGGGCTAAATTAGCTCTGCTAAGTTTGTTTGTGCTTTGATGTCTGCCCTCCCTGCATTTCACACTGGTCACATCTGTGCAGAGCTACTAAGCTTCCTGCTGCCGGAACGCATTTGCCTGGACCGGATGAAGTGGATCTACGGCGAGTTTACGTACGTATTGTAACCACGTTATGGCAGCATGTTGTGGCAGCATGCTCTTAGCCAGTCAGTTTCTTTCATGTTTCAGCAGGATACCGGCTCTGCGTGGCAGTGCGATGCACTGGTCGCTCATCCCGTGATTAAAAAGTGCTCATTGCTCAGCTTGCTGTGTCGCAGCGAACTGGACTCCGACTTGATTATGTCAGCTAACTGCTGGCTTGCTGCAGCTGTTGTGGCTTTGTCTCAGTCACACACAAATGGTTTGAGAAAAGCAGCAGGCTAGCCCATCGCATCCCAGCTCCTGAATGCAGACTGCCGCGCTTCTGGAGCAGCATGTCAGCAAAGTTTTGATGAGCTCAACTTTGTGAGACAGCTGTCAAGCGATATTGCCAAAACGTGCAGCATGGTTCTGAGGGTTTAGCAAGCAACAGCGCAACATTTTTGGCTTGCTTCTGCCCTCTGCGCATGTGAGCTTCACCACGAAGGGGTTCTGGTGGTTGTATGGCTAGATTCATGATGTCTTTGTCAAAACCTACGTGTGAAACAATGTTAAGGCTTGAATGAAGACTCTGGGTTCTTCAGTGCATCCTTTTTATCTTTGTTTTTTTGCATCCACTTTTCGTTGTGAAGTTTATTGTGTGGGGCCCAAGGTTTTTCTTAAGCACGGTTCACACTAGTCTTTAATGCAAGCCCTGGTTAGAGTTTCTGGGCGTTTCTTGGACACGATTGTCGACACACACACACACAGTCTGACTTGTGCCAGCAAGCTGCGCTCGTTGGATTCATATGCATGCGCAGCACGGATCATTGATCGGACGCATTGCTGAAGACAGACGCAAAGGCAAACCAGCCGGGAGGTCTTCTGTTAAAAAGACCCCGGACACCCCTGCGACCGACACAAACTTCATCAATGACAGCCATGACGAGAAGTTGCTGCATTCAGCACAGCAAACCACTCCGCAACCCGCAAAGAGATAACAGAGCTGCAGCTAAACGCACAGAAAGGCGAACGAAACGTGCAAGAATCGTTATCACCATTGCGCCCCGAAAGCTATCAGCAGTCTGAGTCGGATGTCTCTTGCACACTGCATTTCCAACGAAGGACATCCTTGCCTTGATTTGTCGGCATGAGCGACGTCATAGGCCAGGCAGCTTCGCCCGAGTGATGTGATCTCGCCGCGCATGACATACTTGCAGGATGGGCGGCTGTCGTCTTCGTGCTTTGGGTCGTTTGTTGGACTGCTCAGCAAATTTAGGAGTGTAGCTTGCTCCGCAGTATCTGTGCCAAGCTTTGCTCGCAAACAGGCCCATTAATTAGTCCAGGATGCACCTGCAAGACTGGAAGGACCTGTGTGCTGTTCTTTGCATGGGCTCTGGTGGATCGACGATTCAAGCCCAAGGTCAACTGAGTGCAGCTTGATGTTGTCGGCTGTTTGCTTGCACCGTCGCAACCGGCGTCCAGCAGCCCAGCAGCAAGCTCATCAGGGCACTGCCGCGCTAGGGTCTGGTTTGGCATGGATTTCGTAAGGACACTTGAACCTGACGACTCAAGACGGCCACGAGACGCAGTTCTTCTGTGAAGCTCCTGATGGTGTCGCTGACTGTTTGAAGGAAGCATCCCAACAAGAGTCATGAAGATGGAGATGTGGAGCTCTTGGCCTTGAGACTCTCCTGCAATGGCCAAGCTGAACTTCATCATGTTGCGCAGAGAAGTATTCAGGGTGCTCGTGGTTGCTCTGCATGTGACGACCGTGAGAAGAATCCCTTGCCCCTAGTCGCTGGGATTCTTTTTTCATGCTGGTCGTCCTGCACGGCTTGGTTTCTCTGCGCCGTGCACGGGCATCAGCTTCTTGTGTGCTCAGATGCGTGATCACTGATGGTCGTCCTGCACGCTGCGCTGCAAAATCAGACAACGCAAGTTGTGCATGAGGTTTCACATTGCGAGGGCATCCCTGCAAAGTCTTGCGTAGCTGGACTGACGAGACTTCAAGCCGATTTCAGGTGCCAAAACGCAAATTGGGTGCTCAGATGTGTTGGCTCTGGATTGGGTCTTTTGGCAGGATGCAGCCGGCAAAGTCGGTTTGCATTGGCAGCCTCAACACGGGGCTCTGCTAATGGATGCCGCGCGGCCTGATTCGCCGAAGTCTTTCCAGGCTGACTAGCAGGGCTTCAGCTGGCCGGCACCTGGCCAAGCAAAGCATCTTCCCGTCTGCGAGGACCGGCTCGGCAGCCCCGACTCCGTCAAGGTCGAGTTTGATCGCGCTGCCTCTCCACGGCCACAACCCAGACGACGGCCTTTCTCTGCCAGAGGCCAGCGCAAGACCTCAAATGCATACTCTCATCGCAGGGCAAGCACAACTGCTTCCAATCTCTAGACATCCGTAGACAATATAGACATTGTCAACCTCACAGGCAAGTTGCGAACGCGCCTCCCAGAGCAGTGGGAGGAAATCCTGGATTTGGTGCCGCCTCCGCGCCCCCCTCCTGTGACAGGTGCTTCGGCGTGCAATTTGAAACAAAAATCAGAAACAGGCAACAGCAGCGCATCAAAGGCACATGAGCATGGCCTGCGGGAGTCCTGCGGGCTGGTGCTTTTCTTCATGTACACTGCAAGTGCTACAGCTGGTTTTGACTTGTTTCACGCTTCCGAGCAGGTGGCGTGCGCACTTTCGACCACCTACCAGAACAAGCGTCTACAGCGGCTAAGGCAAGAAATGTCAAGATGCATCACGGCTGACCACAGTATTGCAAGGGTCACAAGTTTCATGCTCACGCATGAGGCTCTTCCAGCAAGTTGACAGCCAGCAAAGCACAACACCCCGCTGATGTCCTGAAGCTGTCAGGAGTTAGTCCAGAGGGCTGACTGGACGATACGTCGCCTCAAGGTCGATAAGAAGACCCTGCAGCTGAAGTACAACAATCTGTTGGTTCCGGCAGGACAGCAACAGGGCGGCACTTCAGCAGAACACAGTGTGCGCATGTGGGCGGAGCGCTTGCAAAGGTACATCTCTTCTGCACGATTCCAATTAGGCACGATGGTAACAGGGCATGATAGGGCATGGTTCTTGTGCGCTTTGCTGTTTCTGCTGGATGCGTAGGATCTTCCGGAACCTGAAGTCTATGTGAGGGTAGCTCGGTGCATGAGTCAGTCCCACGTGCGACTGGTTGATTCTGGCAGAAGGTCGAGAAACAGCATCCTTGAGGCAGGCTGTCCAGGGTTTCCAAACGTCACACGCCATCATACACCATTGTGTCGTAGATTTTATCTGCAGGTGCCTGCACTAGGCAGAATCAGCGTGAAGCAAGATAGTGTCAAGCCTTGGGAACGAGGTCACAGGGTGCTTGCGGTGAACCGATGGGAACACTTACTGTACGGATGAATACAGCTTTCAAATTGTCACAACACATCGTCATATGCCTCCAGCTGCCTGATGCTGCTATCTCCATTCCTGGCAGGTTCTGGCCAAATGGGCTGTATGGGAACGCCACGAAAACTGCGCGAATGCGCATGGACTTGGGGGGCCTGCACACCGACTCCTGGTGTGCCGTTGGCCTGGCAATGCCAGAGGGCACCAGGCTTCGATTTCGATTTCATGTGGGACGATTTCTCAGTTGCTCTCAGCGCGGAGATTTGCTTTCGTCTTGTGCTTGCTTCGTTGTGTATGTTTTGCAGCCACAGCGTGTCCCCAGTCTCAGATCTCACTCAGAGCGTAGTCTTCTACGCGGCCAGCGCCAAGTCAGGAGCTCTCTGGTCGGACATCAGGATTTGTCATTGGCACGCAGCTGGAACGATGGTTCAGCAGATTTGGACACCTCCGCAGCAGGAGCAGATGCCCTTGATTTCCTGGAGTCTGCTGGGTGCCTAACGCTCGGAAACCGATGCTGCAATGCAAAGCTGCAAAGCATCAATTACTATAATGCCACAGTTTGGCGTAGTGCAGCAGATGTACGATATATGTAGTCGATGTAGTCATCAAATGCTGCTTCACAGTTTGCCATGCAAAGCAAGTGATAATGGTGATTTGCTGTCGTGTGTTTGCGGCGTGGCTGCTTTTTGCATCTTAAGAGCACCGACATGCATGGGGATACGCACGCATATAGCGTTGAGGGTTGGGGTTGGGCGTTCAGGTTTTATGCACTTGGGTGTAGGGCTGGGGTTCAGTGTTGAAGGTTTGGGTGAGGGCCATGGTCCAATTTGGGGTTGTGGATTCAGGGTCGAAGCTTTCGCTCTAGGGCTACGGGTCTAGCGTCTAGGGCTTCGGTTAGTGTAGAAAAGTAGAAACGTCGACAATTAGAAAGATTCCCGATTGGTTAAGCCCAGGCATAGTGTGTTTGGGTTTGGGGTTCAGGTCATGATTCAGTCTTCAGAGTCCTGTGCTTGGCGTTCAGGCTTTGCGGCTTCATGCAGAGGGTTTGAGGTTAAGGGGCGTATAGTTTGGAAAACCCCCATAGACTGCATGTCTGTCAGGAGTTGGGAGATCTGACAAACCTGATCGTGGGCGTTGAAGTCTTGGAAGACCTGACGTCAGATTCCCTGCCAGGTGGTTTGGGGGTAGCATGGTCTGTGCATGGCCAATCTTTCCGATACGTTGATCAAGTGACGCCCCAGGTTTGACACCAATGCCATGGTTGAGGTCGCCACGCTTCCGCAGACTGCCAACTGTTGATAACAATCCTGTCCAAGATCTGACCGACAGACAGAAGACTCTTCAGAAGGCTCATGGGATTCTGGCGCTAAAGGCACTGCGAACACAACGCGGGCTGGCATTGCCATCACCGAGATTTGGAACTGGCCTGGAATTGTTGCGCAGCTCCCCACGATGTCGGATGGTTCCTGAACAGAATTATTATAGTGTTGGCGTTTCCATTGTTACAGTTTTGCTGCCGCTGTTTCCGCGCTTCGCTGTGTTGCTGTACTGATCCAAGGCGCCAGCCAATCATGAACGAGGCAATTGAGAAGAGATGCGGCAGCTGTACCATCTGGGCTTGGTGGAGCCTTGTTTGCAAGGGCTTTTGGCAATTGATGTTTGTAATTAAGGCTCATACTCATACTCTTTTTTTCAATGTCTCCGACGCTAGCTTGGGAGTGAACGCAAAGTCACGTCTGTGTTCTGTTTGCCAAAGATTCTTGGATACACGGCGATTCAAGCTTCAAGTTGGTGACGACTGCTGGCACATGCAGGAGCCAAGAAAGGAATCATCTCACACATCCGCAAGCATATCTCACCTGAATATTTCAATCGAGAATCTGTACCTGGGCATCGCCCGAAAACCCCATGTGGAAGTTGTTATATGAAACGACCACGGCTGATTTAAAAGACCTTCCGCGAAAGGTCGCGATGGTGCTCGCGAAAGGAACTTTGGATTTCGCGAAAGAGGTATTGTAAGCTATATTTCCTTTACTTACTTTCGAAAACATTTCTCTTCTTGAACTCCGCAGGCATGCTTCCAGGCATGCTCAAAGGTGAAAAGGTTGCAAGTCTTTCTGAGGCACAGCAGGCTCAATCTCAGAATTCTTACCTGAAGATCCGCGAAAGGTCCGCGAAAGATCGCGTAGGCCGAGCAAGCCCCCAGCATTGAAAGCCATGGGAGACGACATAGCTTCTGCAATTCGGTGTTGGAGTTTAGGGCTTGGGTAAGTTCCAACCCCACTTCACCTTTCCGGGATGCTTTGTGGCTTACAGGTTCGGTTTTGGAGTTGAGGGTATGGGTCAAGAGTTCTTTTGAGAGTTCAGGGCTCGGTTTTTGCTTCAAACATGCTTGTGCGAAAGCTCGCGATGGTGTGCGCGAAAGGAACTTTGGATTCCCGCGAAAAGGTCATTTTGTTATGGAGGTAATATTGGGCAACGCCCAGCACTTGACAGCACTTGAAAAGCCTCTGGAGACCCCAATCCTGAAGAAATGTGCGTTGGCCTGATGTTTTGCAGAGTTTTTGGCATATGGCCTTGGCATGCCTTGGCCAGACATCCCAGAGTAATGGGGTCCTGAGTCTGGTCTGGCCTAGCCTGCTGAATGTGACATGGAGATTTCTCGAACTATGTCATGATGATTTCTACTTTGACCTTCTCAGGACTCCAAGATCAGTATTTGGAAATTTTGTGCAGTGTCAATGTCCAAACAGGACACAGCAAGGAAGGCAACTTGACAGGTTTGGAGTCAAGGGTCGTGTCGTGTTGCTGCGAGAGGACCGATGTTCCCTTCCAATCACTTTGGGCATATGCTGGATGAGACACAGACCGAAGTTCTAACGTGCAGTTCTAGAAAGAGAATGTGAGATGAAGTTGTCCGAAACAAACTTAAGCGTCACCTTGAAGTCTTACGCATGCAAATTAATTGTCAGTTCCACATGCTGTGGTAGAGTGGCTATAGGCAGTATCAGAGTTCGGGTGCGGTCTTTTTGCTTTATTGGTCAAGCGTCTTTGGCTGCCCATCTTCTGCACATGAAGAGCTTGGGGAGCCAGGGAGATTTTTCGTCTCATTTACATTCTGGTTTAACTGATGTGCAATAACTGTCGAAGACCCTTAAGCCACGAGATCGCTGCGTTGCATGAGGCTGGCTTGATGCTCCGACGACGTTAGCTTGCCACCTTGGTGCGCAATCTCGGCGGAAAATGCCAGAGCACTGCACATGTTTCCTAGCCTAGCTTGCTGTACAAATCTTTCTGGGGGTAGTATGCTTGTCCTGCTTGATTAATTACTTGCGATCCACGACATGTTTGACCTCCTCCCCTTGCTTACACTTTTGCAGCGCTCTTCGTTCAGGAGTCAAGCATCCATTTCGATATGTTTCGATCTTCATCGACATCAGACTACGCAATTTCAATGTTTGGCGCAGCCCTTTCAGAAAACAGCGATGACGCACTGTGCTTAGCAGTTGGCATCTTGTTGCTTCCGTTGTGTCCGGGAAAGTCCACTTAGATGCCATGGAGTATGGATAGGCCCAAGATCGGTGGAGTATGAAATCTTATCGGGGAGAGCTAGGAATGTGGGGAACTCAGATGCACCCGAGCTGCTTGTGAGTTTCGTCGGGCCGTGTGGCAAGACAGGTGACATGTCTTAGGAATTTGTCAGGGCCAACCGCCAGCTCACGTCCAACACCCTGGATTCCCACCCATCCTGAATTGTGCTCAGTTTTGGTAAGTAAGGATTGGGTATTCTTGTGAAGCTGACCTGTCCCAAATGGAACCTTCTGCTGACGATGGGACGCGGGCAGGATAGCTGGGTAGAGATCAAGGTTGCACCGAGCTGAGCAGCTTCAAGATCACGAATTGCAGGCACCTGTTTGCTTTTCAGAACTTACCGCCGCTGCTGCTTGAGTGTGACCCCTCTGACTCTGAGCGCGTGGAGGGAATCGCTTGCTGAAGAAAATCTTTTTTTTTGTATGCCGACCGCCCCTTACTTACTGGAGGGTGGGTGATGCTTCTTGGGAGCAAGTTCGAAGAAGCGGAAGCTCCTTGAACCAATCAAATCTAAAGGGTGTGGCTAGTTATTGCGCACAGACCATTTGCATGGAGGAGCACTTAATTGTGCTTTGGCAGACGGGAAGCAGCTTTGCAAGTCCCTCCAGTAAAGCTACACTGGAACTGGTACTTTTCTAAATTGCAACCTGACCCTTTGCTTCCATGATGTTCGCGTGGAGCTCGGCAGCTAGAAGATCATCAAGCACAGGCGGGGCTGTATTGCAATTGAATAGTTGCGGAGGAAGAGAACTGGACAGAGAAAAAGACAAAAAACGCAGGTGTGTGGTTTTTGGGTTGATAGCCGGAAGGT